ATACTGTATTTCTTGTATAGCATATAAATTAATCCGCGGCATTCCTATTTCAGGAAAATTAATCAGGCACTCATCACTTAACGACCTAGTTTCGTTCCTACGACTAGGTCGATTAACGTTTTATTTATTAAGGATAAAGAAATAGTCTAAAGGAAACATCGAATCGATTGCATTGCTTTAATTTACAGCTCTTACATGTTACAAAATATAAAAATGTAATCAGGCCAAAATTTAAAAGTTCATTCATTTAAAAGAGTCATACAAAACAATATTATAGTCATCCAATCTTTGAAAGGATGATAGTGGCTCCAGGTCATCATTGTCATTTTCGGAATTATTAGGAGCTGTACAGGGCCCTGGTAAGGNTGGAAAAAAAATATTATATGGAATTGAACGAAAATGAAAATTTGCTTGATAATTCAACTACGCTTGTTGGAGAACAATAAAAACACTACACTCAACAAGCCACCAATAAAACTCAACTGCCTAACCTATAACCAAAGTCTCCTTTTAATTTGTTTTTAAAAAAAAGCGCTTGACAAACTTGCCCCGCATGCCGAAGTTGCCCCGATCTCCCCTATATTCTCGATAACGTTAATTTCTTCTATATTTATCCTGTATTTATCCAGATTTGTCTGTTTAATTCTTAAATAATAGTTAAGTCTGACATAATTTAATATAAATTATAACTTATATTCAATAAGATGTCGAGCGAATAATATAATTAAAATTTATTCGAAATATTTTATCCAAAAAATTAAATTTTTCAATTCGACTGAGATTTATTGCTTTAAAGAAATTATTTTATCAAATTATTGTTTTTATAAACAATAATTTGATAAAATAATTTCTTTAAAAAAACAATTTTTAATGTTCTTAGAATAAAACAAACGCATTTTAAAAGTTTTGTAGCAAATTTCTAATATTCAACCTAATATCTGCAGAGTTGACATTCACTTGGAAATAAGGTTTAAATAACTACATTAAATTTTATAATACGAGCGACTTAATTAAATGCTTTATATTTAATTTCAGTTTTAAATTAATTAATGAGAAATACATACCTTATTAATACAATATATTAATCAAATTAACAAATTTAAGATACAATGAAATACTGTAAATACCAGGGCTATTTTTTAAATAAGGTCCGTTTGTGAATGAGAGTGAGAATGACGTGCGATTGCAGCAGTGTGCATGAGCATCTGCTTTCAGCATGTTTTGCGTGTGTTTAGATGCCATTTGCAGCCGTATCGTCTGTCTGTGCTAAACTGTAGAAGTTTATTAGTGTTTAAAGAAAATTGAATCACCCGCCGACTATAAGATACCATCTGTTATTCGATTTCAGCACGAAAGTTCACGGTAACTGTCTTTTGGGGCAGGAAAGGGACTTTATTAGTGAATTTTATGCCAAGAGGCACAACAATCAATTCTGATGCTTATTGTGACGTTGAGAAAACTCCGCCGTGCCATACAAGACAAGCGGCGTGGTCTAATGTCTTCAGGCAGCAGGCGGCAGATTCTTTGAAGTCGGAATTAAAAAAAATTTTTGAGCGGTATGACAAATGTTTGAACAAAAATGGAAATTATGTAAAAAAGTCGATAAAAGTATGTAGAATATGGGGAAAAATATATTTTAATGATATTTACAGTATTTTTCTTCTTATTAAAACACGGACCTCATTTAAAAAATAGCCCTCGTATATATATACAGGGTACAAATACGCACCTGGAAATTCAGGGAAAATTAGGGATTTTTCATTAGTATTCGAAAAAAGTCAGGAAAAGTCAAAGAATTTGAACCCTTGGTTGACTTTTTTTTTTTTTTTGCTGAAAATATCATGAGTAATTGTAGCCATCTGCAGGCAGCAAGAAGTAATGTGGTGCAACACAACTTATGAAAAGGGGGTGCAGAATATTTTCAAGATCCGAAATTTCTCTCGAGCATACACAAAATTTCCCCAAAATTTACAAAATACAAGAAATGATAAATAATTTTAATTTAAATGTTGTTATTTATCATTTTTCATTTTTATAATTTCGATTGCGTAACAAAACAATTTTCGATTTTTTTCCATTTTATTATCAATAATATTTTATAACGATCAAAAAAATTATTAAGAAATAGATTTAATATAGAGCCTATATACTTTTGTCCACGGTTTAAACATGGTTTGTTAATGAAAAATAAATAAATGATTTTTTTCTTTTTTTAAAACACACGCAGATTTCGGTTGTAGATTAATAACAGGATAAACTACTTTAACTGAGCTGCAATTTTAAAAAATCTGTAGACCTATAAATTCCCACTGTCGTCCGTCCGTCTGATTGCCTGTCTGTCCGTCCTTAATTAATATTGAGTACGATGTTAGATAAATGAAAGTCAAGTTTCCGTACGTTCGTTTTCTTTCTTTGTGTTCATTTTTTTTAACTCTTTCTGTCCTGTGGACACTTACAGGGCCTCTATTAGCAAGCCCATTATGGGTTCGGCCAGGCCCATAATGGTGAATAAATGGTAAAAACCTTAATTTTGAGGATAGAGGCAGGGCCGGATTTAGACTTGATAAGGCCCTAAGCTATTTGAGATATGGGCCCTTTATAAATCCAGATATTATACAAAAGGTCAGCTTGCTCGAATGTAGCGTAGCAACACAGGGGAATCCCCGTGTTTATAGTAAAAAAAATTATATACTTTACACGTTCCATTTCTATTATAAAATAATAATGAAATAATTTTAAAAATTACCCAAATTACCGGCATTTGCTGTCGAAATTTATCAGTAATTTCGGTAGTCATAATTACCGGTAATACCGTTAACCGGTTATCGGTAATGCAAACACTAGGCGCTTTGTTCTTCGAAAAGACGCGCTAAAAAGATTGGGTGAAAAGTATGGGACGTTCCTGAAGTGCGGCATTGGGACAAATAATGCTGCAGTATATTTAAGTATATATGACAATTGCTTACTCGGACAATTTTGGGGTGGCCCAAGAAAGTGGAGGCTCTAAGCTATAGCTTGTGTAGCTTATACGTAAATCCTGCACTGGGTAGGGGTGGGTTTTATAGAAAATTGTAAATACTAATAACGAGGAAAATCGTCATTCGGTCCGACTCTACTGGAGATACAAAACTTATCACACGGTGTAGCCTCAAGCAATGGGATACTTTTGCACCCTATAAATTTTCTTACTTGTAAACTATTACGTTTACAGAATTTATTTATGGTGTAACTACACACCGGACTAGTATTGTCAATTTTAATTTTTTTCCGAAGTCTTCCATGTATATATGCCGAGTAGAGGATTAAAAAACCGCAAACACTTGAACAAAGTAACTCCGTTCTAGGTAATAATTTATCCGATTAAGGCTACGCGTAGCCTTCGCGTATTTGAAGCCTAAGCAACATACAACCTTACATTACGTTGCAAATTATGTACAGTATAGCGTTAACGTCTTTCTTATCAAACACTTCAAAACATTTGAATTACCTTTTATATATATAAAGATTATCTCAAATTAGTTTATCATTATGTCACTGTTCAAGCGTCAAAGCTCATATATTGTTATCGATTTATCGATTTATCCAGTGTTTTAATCGATAAAACACGTGCCAAATGTTATGCAAGTGTTCTGTGTTCTTTAGTTTCGTTATTAGCTAGTGATGTGCCGGATATCCGTATCCGTATCCGTATCCGCGGATATCCGAGGAAAAGAAAAGATCCGTATCCGTATCCGTATCCGTTACTTTTTAGCGGATCTTTAACGGATCTTTTATCTTAATGAATTTCATTACTTATATGAAATTTTAAAAATAGGTAGCAATAGCACATTCGTCGTTTACTATCGTAAAATATTTCCATATTTTACTTACTACTAAACTTTTTTGTCGACATTGTTTTTATTTTAATTTAACTCAACACTCTCCAAAAACAAACGTAATCTACGCTATCTCGTGTCACACTAGCCACAAACCAGTGTTTCCCAACGTGGGGCCCACGCCCCACAGGGGGCAATTGGATTGTTAAGGAGGGCAATTCGAAAATGGACTTGTCCAGAGTTTAGGTTAATCGTATAGCCGCTGTATATGTTAGGGAGACATAAGAATTTTAGAAAGGCTTAGGTGGGGCATAGCACAAAAAAGGTTGGGAAACACTACACTAAATTATTGTGGCGGTACGCTATATTTTTGTAAATATTAATTTTAGTTTAGTTTCGTTTCTTCTTTCTACCCTNTTTTTGCTGATATATTTAATACAATAAGAATGAAGAGAAGCAGAAATACAGTTTTTGTGTGATTTGTTCGCAACACTAACTCTGTTCTAATTCCGTAGGAAATACAACTAATTGAGAGAATTGAGAGAACAGTAAGCAATCAAGTACTACATAAATTACGATTTATCGAATATAATTCTCTAATTTTAATCATTTCAATTCTATGATTCTTTCTGTTGAAAGAAACAAATTATTGTGGATTAGAGATAAAGAGAAAAAAGTAGAACTACTCTCGACTTTTCTCTCTAACCAAACGAGAACGGAAGTACGTCAGTGCGAAGTTTTGACAACGAGAAACAGGAAACAACACTAAACTTGCTTAGTGTTGTTTTCTGTTTCTTAAATCAGTAATGAATTAAAGTGCTTTTAGACAGCCGGAGGGCATCGGAGGTTACTTACTATTCTGGGGAAGGGATGTGGGGTCGAATCGGGTTATCAACCCCAGAAATTTTTTATGGGTGGTTGGACCTCGTTTTTCGCCTCCCGGCCGCCCATCTGGGCCTGAACTTCGATGGATACGAGTAAAAAGGCCCTTTCCTGTCTCTCGATGGGTATGAGTAAAACGGCCTTTTAGTCCTTGATTGGTATGAGTAAGAAGGCCCTAGTAGTACGGAAAAGACAAAAATACCTCTTAAAATAAATTTAGAAAAAAAAAGGAAAAAGAAACTAAACTGTGAGCGCCGACGGAAGTTTTAACTTTTCATAAAGTAGTTTCATTTTCAACGTCCAATCCTACGCTTACATGATAAGATACGGAACATATGAATACAAATAGCAGCTATAATTATCCAGATCGTAACTTGTTTGATATCAAAAGGGGTAAGTTGAGCTGTGTTGTTTAATTTTAACGATAAATAAGGACGAATCTGTTGAAGTTCGTTAGGCTAAATACGAGTTTTTAGAAATACGAAGCATTCTTTATTAATGAAGGTGCCTAAACTCAATATACAGAAGCATATTTAAGCGATAGATGCTACTAATAGTATTATTTTATAAAATTAATATAAGAAATATAATTAATAATCATGCGAATAAGTTGTAATATTGTTCAAGAACAGGAAAAATATAGAAAAACGAGTTTATTATAGGTGAAGGTCATTGAAATTCTTGATACATATACTGTATTAATCACTGTTCCAGTTATTAGTATAGCAACATAAGCATCTGTGGGATACGTTTTTTTATTAACCGTCGATTCACTAAATTTCACGGAATCATATAGATTTAATGATCTTGGATTTAATTTCTTTGGATGATGATAAAATATTTTTTCTAAGAATCCGAAAGAAGTTTTTTATATACACTTTTGATTTATGTTTTAATTAATTCTGTTGAACTTAATTAACTTTCCTTCATTTTTGTTTATTTATTTACTAATTTTTCGTAATTACGATGTGAAATTACACGATGTTTAATGCAGAAAATTTGTGACCCCTCTCGGGAAAAATCAAAAGTGATCGCAAAATAGAGGTTCCTGTCTTCTTTAAACCAACGGAAATGTTTTGGGGAATGTTCGTGGTCTCAAAGGGAAGTTATACTGTATTTCTTGTATAGCATATAAATTAATCCGCGGCATTCCTATTTCAGGAAAATTAATCAGGCACTCATCACTTAACGACCTAGTTTCGTTCCTACGACTAGGTCGATTAACGTTTTATTTATTAAGGATAAAGAAATAGTCTAAAGGAAACATCGAATCGATTGCATTGCTTTAATTTACAGCTCTTACATGTTACAAAATATAAAAATGTAATCAGGCCAAAATTTAAAAGTTCATTCATTTAAAAGAGTCATACAAAACAATATTATAGTCATCCAATCTTTGAAAGGATGATAGTGGCTCCAGGTCATCATTGTCATTTTCGGAATTATTAGGAGCTGTACAGGGCCCTGGTAAGGGGGCATTTACAATATTTTTTTATAAAACTTATCCCTAAGCTCAAAATTAAGCTATTTGCCACTTTATAATAATTAAAACTATAAAATATTTTTAACAATAAAATGTCGTAACGGATGGAGCCACATATGTAGTTTTAAATATTGAATGGAAAGTTAAGCAACTCGTTGCTAGATTTTTATATTTTCTACTTTCGTTTTTGTTGATTGATTTTATAGAGTTTTTTTAATATTTCATACTAGCTCTGTACTTGTTGTCTTCTTATTTCATTCTATTTTTGTCTTGTGATATGCGTTTTATGCTTTATTTTATACATTTACTTATATTGATTTTCGTTTTATTGAATAATTTTATGCAGCTTTTAGTATTTTTATAATATTTCTGTATTTGTTTACACAGCTTTATGATTTCAGTTCAGAGTTATTAATAATTTTAGCGTACATAACTTTTGCTTTTTAAAGTTTTTGACTTTAAAACCACGCGACTGTAATTTACGTAGTATTTATGAATAAAAAATGGCCGAAAGAGGCCCTTGCGCCATTAAACAGATAGATCACGCGAGAAGTGGCTGTATTTTAAATTTATAGAAATATGAGAAATATTTATTTCTGTTATAAATTATTTTAGTAATATTTAGATGTATAAATTAGTCATATATTTAAAAATAAATTTTCTTTAAATCATTACAAATATATTTCAGATTTATTATTTTAAATTCTTTAGTCAAAGTTATTCCAACGAATCGAAATCATACATTAATAATATGGCCGAAAAGAAAGGTGCTGGTAAGTAAACTAAAATATATACTTTATTTTAAATTTACTTAATTACCATAAATGAAGTTTTGCCTAGATTAGAAAATATACCGAACAACAGGCCGTTACTGTGAATCTATATTTACATATACTGTACTGCTAATTGTCTTTATATAATGATATACCATGCAACTTGGATTTTTAAGAATATCCAAGTTGCACGAAATCCAAGAGATGGAAGAATTCTGTGGCGTGTAGTTACACCATTAACACTGGAATTCAATTGATTTCAGTCTTTTAATAATGAAGAAAGTAATAATTTAAAATTGTTGCATTTAAAGTTAGCGTTGAAAGACATTATTTTGAATTGTGTCGCCACTCAGTGATAATTTATTTCGGATTCTTGGTTAAACATGCGATTTTTTTTCGGGATTTTTTTTTGTGTGCCTAACATCTAAATGGGTTAATCTACTATAAAAAGTCCTGGGAGGCACTTCTTCGGTAGAACGCCCGTGTTGTGCTCCCTTATATTCTACCAATCCAATTGAAATTATGTTTGTTTTCATAAATTCACTTTATTATTGTAATCTTAAATCTACGAAAAATCAACTTATCATAAGTTTGTTTAGATGAACTTGAGAGTATGATATAACATTGATTCTCTCTTTTTTACCATAATTATGCTTTTCTTCGATTTATTGAGGTTTATTTCCAATTATATCTTATAAGCCAAAAGATTTTACGAAATATAACTGATTCTTTATTATTTTTCTTATTATATTTTGTATTACTTTCTGAAAAGTGTCTTTTTATTTTATATCCGAAAAAAAATCGAAAATATTTTACCAGTATTAAGTACAAAATAAAATCATCCTACATTCTTGTACTGTAGTTACGGAAGAAAATGAGATTTCTTCATGTTAGAAATTTTCAGTTGCATAAAATTTGATTTCATTAATTAACCTTCACAACATTTTGAGACATTCCTAGTGAAAATATGCAAAATTAAAATATATATTTAAACGAATATTTTGACAAAAAGACAGGAAAAAAATACAATATGTAAAGCTCTAGTGTAAATAGGCAGGTCCACAAGTAGTCGAGTGGATGAAACCTCTGAACACACGTAGTTGGTCATGGATTCGCGCCTGACCAACTAACTGGCCACTTGGAGTTTTCCGAATTTTCTTCACGTATCTACTGTAAATCTAAATTGGGGCCAGTTTCTCATAAAAAGTCTTCTTATTTCCTCTTGACAGAGCGCCTCCCATCAAACAGAACCTACATTATATTATATTATAAGCCATTTTCTAGAAAGTATTATTATAAGTTTTCAGTAATTTCTTTATATTTTCAGGAAATATTATAATTAATAAAGGTCAAGATTTACATGTTGGAAACAGATATTATTGGAATCAGGTTAACAATNTTTAATTTAAATGTTGTTATTTATCATTTTTCATTTTTATAATTTCGATTGCGTAACAAAACAATTTTCGATTTTTTTCCATTTTATTATCAATAATATTTTATAACGATCAAAAAAATTATTAAGAAATAGATTTAATATAGAGCCTATATACTTTTGTCCACGGTTTAAACATGGTTTGTTAATGAAAAATAAATAAATGATTTTTTTCTTTTTTTAAAACACACGCAGATTTCGGTTGTAGATTAATAACAGGATAAACTACTTTAACTGAGCTGCAATTTTAAAAAATCTGTAGACCTATAAATTCCCACTGTCGTCCGTCCGTCTGATTGCCTGTCTGTCCGTCCTTAATTAATATTGAGTACGATGTTAGATAAATGAAAGTCAAGTTTCCGTACGTTCGTTTTCTTTCTTTGTGTTCATTTTTTTTAACTCTTTCTGTCCTGTGGACACTTACAGGGCCTCTATTAGCAAGCCCATTATGGGTTCGGCCAGGCCCATAATGGTGAATAAATGGTAAAAACCTTAATTTTGAGGATAGAGGCAGGGCCGGATTTAGACTTGATAAGGCCCTAAGCTATTTGAGATATGGGCCCTTTATAAATCCAGATATTATACAAAAGGTCAGCTTGCTCGAATGTAGCGTAGCAACACAGGGGAATCCCCGTGTTTATAGTAAAAAAAATTATATACTTTACACGTTCCATTTCTATTATAAAATAATAATGAAATAATTTTAAAAATTACCCAAATTACCGGCATTTGCTGTCGAAATTTATCAGTAATTTCGGTAGTCATAATTACCGGTAATACCGTTAACCGGTTATCGGTAATGCAAACACTAGGCGCTTTGTTCTTCGAAAAGACGCGCTAAAAAGATTGGGTGAAAAGTATGGGACGTTCCTGAAGTGCGGCATTGGGACAAATAATGCTGCAGTATATTTAAGTATATATGACAATTGCTTACTCGGACAATTTTGGGGTGGCCCAAGAAAGTGGAGGCTCTAAGCTATAGCTTGTGTAGCTTATACGTAAATCCTGCACTGGGTAGGGGTGGGTTTTATAGAAAATTGTAAATACTAATAACGAGGAAAATCGTCATTCGGTCCGACTCTACTGGAGATACAAAACTTATCACACGGTGTAGCCTCAAGCAATGGGATACTTTTGCACCCTATAAATTTTCTTACTTGTAAACTATTACGTTTACAGAATTTATTTATGGTGTAACTACACACCGGACTAGTATTGTCAATTTTAATTTTTTTCCGAAGTCTTCCATGTATATATGCCGAGTAGAGGATTAAAAAACCGCAAACACTTGAACAAAGTAACTCCGTTCTAGGTAATAATTTATCCGATTAAGGCTACGCGTAGCCTTCGCGTATTTGAAGCCTAAGCAACATACAACCTTACATTACGTTGCAAATTATGTACAGTATAGCGTTAACGTCTTTCTTATCAAACACTTCAAAACATTTGAATTACCTTTTATATATATAAAGATTATCTCAAATTAGTTTATCATTATGTCACTGTTCAAGCGTCAAAGCTCATATATTGTTATCGATTTATCGATTTATCCAGTGTTTTAATCGATAAAACACGTGCCAAATGTTATGCAAGTGTTCTGTGTTCTTTAGTTTCGTTATTAGCTAGTGATGTGCCGGATATCCGTATCCGTATCCGTATCCGCGGATATCCGAGGAAAAGAAAAGATCCGTATCCGTATCCGTATCCGTTACTTTTTAGCGGATCTTTAACGGATCTTTTATCTTAATGAATTTCATTACTTATATGAAATTTTAAAAATAGGTAGCAATAGCACATTCGTCGTTTACTATCGTAAAATATTTCCATATTTTACTTACTACTAAACTTTTTTGTCGACATTGTTTTTATTTTAATTTAACTCAACACTCTCCAAAAGCACAAACGTAATCTACGCTATCTCGTGTCACACTAGCCACAAACCAGTGTTTCCCAACGTGGGGCCCACGCCCCACAGGGGGCAATTGGATTGTTAAGGAGGGCAATTCGAAAATGGACTTGTCCAGAGTTTAGGTTAATCGTATAGCCGCTGTATATGTTAGGGAGACATAAGAATTTTAGAAAGGCTTAGGTGGGGCATAGCACAAAAAAGGTTGGGAAACACTACACTAAATTATTGTGGCGGTACGCTATATTTTTGTAAATATTAATTTTAGTTTAGTTTCGTTTCTTCTTTCTACCCTTTGTTCTATT